AGACATGAGGACTTCTGCAGGATGTGGCTGGACCCAAAAGTGCCCAAACCCTGACCCATCTAAAGATGCCCTGGAAAGTTTCATACCTAATGGTGAGGCTGGTGCAATCAGACACTCTCCTTAGGACCTGTGGCATATCAGCTTCTGGAACTGCTTGTCATCATTTGCAAGCTGCAAAGGGATCTAGAAGTCTGGGTCCCATGGTGCTAGAGTTACTAGAGGAGGCTTGCGGTACAGATTTGCAGTGAATCAACCACACACTTGTTTTCTGCTACTGAGTCCTATGCAGGGAAGTGAAAACACAGATGTGACAGGGCATCTTCAGTACAGCCTCCTTCTCACAGCAGGGCCTTTCCCAGCAATAGGTCAGGAGATGATGCCTTTGCCAATGCCAAAGTAATTGTTCCTTGGCTGTGGTTGAAACAGCCTGGCAACAGGAAGAAGAAGAAAAAAAGAAAATGAGAATAAAAGATCTTTAAAGGGGGATACAGTGGGTATTAGTAGTAGTGGTGATAGTGGTAGTAATAATAGTCCTAGTAGTAGCAGCAGCAGCAGTAAGGTTAAAATGGACCTTTGTTGGTTGGAAGTAGTTCTGCCTAGATTTCTCCTTACAAGGAAGCATGCCAAAGAGACATGGGGGCTTTTAGCTCAAAAGAGCAGCTTTCGAGCAGGGTGCAGGGAGAGGTTGGATATTTGGGGAGGGGAACAGAAACTAAGAGATAAGGCAGAATGGAGAGGATGAAGCAGAGTTTCAGTGTTTTACTACAGGCATGTTGTGTTACTCCTTCTTCTTCCAGGGGGATGCACACTCTCTTCTATTAAAGGAACATGATGTAGCAAACTAAATAATGCCAGTACTGTCCATTTAATGTTAATAAAGCCCTTAGTTCCTGAAGTAGGATCGCAGAGGGTGTACATGGGGGAAATGTATCCACACAGAAAGTACTATAATAGATGTTTTAGCTAGTTAATATTTTTAGTATCGCCCTTCTGGGCTCCTTTTCCACAAAACCAAGAAAGCTAGTTTTGTTCCTATACCACCATCTGACTTAAGCCAAAGCAGGCACACACGGGGACAATTGCAGCTGCAAGTAGGACCATTTGTTTTAAACATGATAAAAATTCCCTGGGGAGTTTTAAAGCTTTTGGTGTTTATTTTATTTAAGACTGTAGAGTATCAAGGAGAACTTGGACATGTTAGCTGACACTTCTTGCAGCTCGGAAGAG